CAGCCTTAGCTCCAAAATTGCTATTTTGGGGAGGAAGAATGGTCAGCAGCCATCCTGGAGCCTGAGCCCAGCCCAGCATTCAGCTTTTACACAGGCACTGCCAGACAAAGGAGAACCACAATAGCTCAAAACAGGAGCAGGACAGGGAAGAGCAGCTGAGACCTTCCATGTGCAAAGCTCCCAGTGCTAGAAATAGGATCTATGTTCTGTGCTGGGCTACTGAGATCCTCACCCCACTCCAGGGCCTGAAAGGATTTTATTTGCAGGCATTAGGAGCCTCTTGGATGGGCCAAAGCCAAGCAATGTCCATCAACACTGCCCAAACCCCTCTGCACATCTCAGTCATGGCAGCACCCATAGAGCAGCATCTTTCCCTTTTCCTGAGGAGTCACAGGCATCAACCTGCACCTCTGCCAGTGAGACAGATTCAGCCACCTGGTTTGTCACTGCATTCACTGTAGCTGGGTGAGGAGACTCCCCTGAGCCATGACTGGGATCCTGCCCACTGGCAATGTATCCCTGGAACTCAGCTCCTCATTCTGCAGCTCAGTCACTCTGTGCTGAAAGGCAAAGCACCATCCTATTGCTGCCTGCTCTTGGATCCAAGCAAACACTACCTCCAGGCTAAGGGACAGCCAGAGACAGGTTGGGACCACAGTTCTAAGCAGCTGTATACCAATGGGTTAACTCTGGTTATCAGACTACTCTGTTGGTTATGTCTCCAGTGATAAATCAAGACAAGACCCTGCTTAATAAGGAAAAGCCAAGTGAGGCTATTTTAAAATGCAAATCCAAAGGAATTTAGAGTGCTGGGGTGAGAGAAGAGCTGAGATTAGGAGGCGACAAACACAGGCTGAAAGGAACAACTCCAGAACTGTCCTCCTGTGCCTTCAGCAGAGGAGGAACAACACCCCATGAGATACCCAAAGCTGGTTTTCCTTGGAGCAGCCCTGGCACCATCCAGGACAGTGCTGCAAAGCACCTAGCTAGGCTGGAGCTGGTGAGACCCCAGTGCTGAATACACCCCCAGCACCTGCACCATCAACACACCTTTATCCCCTAATCTGATTCAGGACAGTCACTTGTGCAACGTTTTGACCCCAGCTTTGCCCAGAGCCAGAAGGATGCACTCAAGAAGGAACTAGTAGCAGTTACTCACAGGCTGAGGAGCTGCTAACAGGAGATGAAGGTGTTCTAATTGGTTCCTGTGACACCCTGAGTGTTGGTGTCATTAAGCACAGCACTGGAAGCAGAGACTCCTCAGCACTTGGGTGTTGTAATGGGGTTCCATCTCCTTAGGGGCCCCAACCACCTGCTGTGACCCTGGCAGAGGGCAGCTCTGTCCCCTGGGGGGCAAGGGTCCAGCCCCAGGGGCTCTGTTGGCAGCTGGTGCAGCCTTAGTATCACTGGGACTCAGCAGAAAGATGTCCAGAGCAAAATGAAGCTCAGAACTCAAACTAAAGACAAAAGAAAGAACTGTTGACCATAGACCATGGGATGACGTGCAGACTGACATGTCTGGGGCCACAGCTGAGCTCTCCCAACCTCTCCTGCACTGAGGGGCACAGATAAACAAAGAACAGGAATTCCACCAGGGCAGCTGAGCCTCTGCTCTGTGACCCCACACCTGCCCCTCCTGGCTCATGGTTGCAGAGGGGACAGCACCCACCTGCCCCAGAACTTGTCCTCAGCCCAGCAGAGCACGCACAGCATCCCACTGGGAGGAGGCTCCAGCTCCTCTACCAGCACTCACAACAGCCCAGGATGCAGAGATGTGTTGGTTGTGTATCACAGGGGCTTGAATCTGATATTCATAGACTGTCTCTCTTTTAAAGGGCAAATCTCTTTGAACAGAAACAAACTAAGACATGCTGAATGATAAATGGACATTCTTCTGTACTTCCTCACTGAAATTTAATTTTAATTGATATCAAACATGACAGAGCTTCTACTCCAACTTCTATTTGCCTCTGCAGTGGTACTGCCATCACATCCCTGCCCTCTGCACCATCTGTGTCCTCAGTCCTTGAGCACTACCCTAACCCCATGAGCCCTCACACCCTTTGCAGAAGGCAGAACAAATCCCAGAGCAAACCTTTCACCCAAGGCCTCCAACTGAAACAGCTCCAGCAAGACTGGATTCCTCTTTGATGGTGACAGAGAGGAGGTCCAGGCAGGAACAGGGCAAGGTGCTGGTTGGGATAAAGGGGAGTCCTGCAATCCCTGTGAGAGAGGTGGGAGAACAGGAACAGAGAGGGACAATGAGGCAGATGCAGAAGATCCATCTCATTCCCTTGCAAGCACTCACCTTCCACTAGCCCAGGTTACTCCAAGCCCCATCCAACCTGGCCTTGAACACTGACAGGGATAGGGCAGCCACAGTTTCTCTGGGCAACCTGTGCCAGTGCTTTACCAATTTCAGTGAAAAAAAAGTTTCCTCAACACCTGTTTTGAGGAAGGCCTGTCCAGTGAAGCACATGGAGGGATTGAGCAAGACTGAGCAGCAGTGAGGAGGCATCTCCTGCTCTCCCCCATCAAGCCCTGCTCCTGCCTCTGCTGTGTGTGACTCCACTTCTACAGTGTCCCATTCACAGCCTGAAAGTACTCGGAAATAGGTTTATTTATAGCACCTAGAGAGTAACAGAATCTTCTCCTCCCTCTCCTTGCTACCCGAGACACTTACTACCTGCACGTTCCCACTGTGTGGCTGCACATTCTCCTCCTCCCACGCCTGGGACACCAGAGCCTCCTGCCCGGGGGGGACAGCACGGCCCAGCCCTGCCCCAGCTAAAGACAGCAAGTGACTCATGCCAGCAGAAATCCCAGGGGGAGGAGGGGCAGGGGGAGCACCCACTGCCCCCAGCTCCACACTGCTGCTCCCCTGCATGGCCCTGGGGCAACTGGCTGAGCCCCTGATGCCAGGGAGGGCAGGTGAGCCAACACCCCTGCCCAGGCAAAGCCTTCCAGGTGGGATGGGTTGGGGTAAATCAGCAGAGCAAATACCTCATGTCACACTCCCTGCCTAGCAGGGACAGCCCTGAGGAGCAGCTGTGCCTCCTAAATTTGGCTCTGATTCCCAGCCAAGCTAGCTTTGCTCTGTCCACACCAGTGGGGCCACATGCACCCACCTCCTCCGCTCGCTCCAGAGCCTGTTCCTCAGCTCTCAGATGGCAAAAATAGCTGATTTTGCAAAAAAAAAAGAACCCTTCACAGCCTGTTCTGAAGTGCTGAGCCATGGAGCAGCCTGGCTACAGAGCTCTGACAGAGAATCCAGCTCTGACAGCAAAGGTCTGGTCTTGGAGCTGCTGCCCAAAGCCTTGGAGCATGGAGAGGTATTCCTTCCAACACCAGCTTGAGCTGGGATTGGGCTCTTCCAGCTATTGTGGAGGAGCAGAGGTAGACTCAGGGTTGAGGAACTGGTGCTGCTGAAGCATTTTCCAGTGTCTTTTTCCCCAGGAGAGGTGCACTGATGGGCACTGCTCTCCAGAAACAACCTGCCCTGATTTAAACCCACAGCCCCATGCTCACAGCCCTTTCCAGAGTGTGTCTCCTCTCCACAGGTGTACCCTGTGCTTTTGTAAGATCCTGTGGGGTCACATCATTACTTTCACATGTCAGTTCTGCCCTTTCTCTCCACACAGGAGTCACCAGGATGGTCCCTGAAAAGCTGCATCACCTCAGAGTCATCCACAGATGTGTCATACCCCAGGGTATAACCACTAGAGCTGAAATTCCAAGAAAAAACTGTTTCCAGACCAAGGCACCAACCTGACTCCAGAAAAAATACTGACAAAGAAGAGTTAGAGGAGCCTGGCAGCCTTGGACCTGCTGTCACAGCCAGACCCTGACCATCACAAGCTCTCAGGAAACACAAACATGCCCAAGATCTGCAATGCCTCAGCCCAAAGGAAGAACCCAATGCCATTTTTGCACTGCATTCTATCAGCTCCAAGGGCTGATCCAGCCCCACTGCAGTGCTGAAAGCTCCAGGCACGAAGCCACGTAGGACTGATAAGGACTGTGCTGCTCAGGCACTGATGTTTTTGCAAGGCAACAGTCTTTTGCCTTAAAATACCTTCCCATAACACCAGCCAAGCACTTGTGCTCTGAAGTGACTGCTTCCACACTCAGCAGTTGTGCAGGCACCTCCAGGCTCCTTAAGGAGTCATCCCTCCCTCCCTCCCTGCCCATCCTTAAGGAGACACATCCCTCCCTCTCTGCCTGTCCTTAAAGACCCAAAATCCCTCCCTATTTTGTCAAGTGTTTTTTTCACAAAATCATTGCCTTCAAACAAATCTTCATGGAAGCCAAGAGAGCATAGGAGATGCTGAGGATTAGTAAAACACAGCCCAAACTGAGTAAATCTTCATTCCTATGCTAATTGTCACTGTGGACAGGTCCCTGGAGCAGATATCCCAACCACTATGGATCTGGGGGTTGGTCTGGATTTCCTCGAGTTTCTCTGGATGAAAAAGCTGGAATTGAAGGAATCCAAGCTGAGACCATGAGCCTTTTCCTGAGCTCCAGAGAGACCCCAAGGCTCGCTGACCATTCCAGGACAATGTGGCCTCTCTAGGTGACTTTTATAGACACAATTCCTGTCTCCATTGATCCACTTCATTTACAGATTTGTAAACAACAATTTCCCTCATAAGCAACAATTTCTTTCAAGCTTTTCAGGACTTTTGCCCCAATTTGGGCATCATTTCTCCCACAGGAGGTGAAAATCCCACAGCACAGCTGAGTTGGGGGGCTGCACACCCACCCCCTGTGCCACCAGCCACCCACACACATGCCATGCCCACGAGGGCACAGCACAGGGCTGGCCCACAAAGCCCCTTTAAGGGACAGTTCGGGGCAGCACATTAATTTTAGCCTGGAACAGTGCCAGGGGCCTGGGCAGCTGCTGCTGCTGCTGCAGGGGGGGCAGTGCCTCCCACCCTTCCCCGCCAGGTCCTCCCCCAGCACAGCCCCAGATCCCTGTCCTGGGGCCTCCCCAGCCCAGTCAGCACTGGGACAGCCATGGCAGAGGAGCGGAGTGAGCTGGAGGAGAGGATCATCATCAAGGACCAGCACACCAAGGAGATCGACCTGGTGAACAGAGACCCCAAGCACATCAACGAGGACGTGGTGAAGGTAGGACTGGCCCCACACTGTGCTGTGGAAGCATTGCTGGAATCAGCATTTGGGTTCAGGGGTTGGTCTGTTTGGCTCAACCTCCTCCAGGGCTGTTAGTCCCTGTCCACGTGCCCCAAGAGGTGCCATCTCCAGGGTGGTGGGGAGGTACCAGCCCTGCTGCCCAGACACCCAGACACTGGCTGGGAGGCATGCATGGCCCCAATTAATGCCATAATTCCCCTTTCTTGATTGCACTCTTCAGCTTCATGGGCTATAGCCTGACAACTTAGAGAGGCTCCTTCCTTTGTACCAGCGAGTGAGGAGCCAAAAACAAAACAGACATTAAATATCATGGATTTAAAGGGAACCTTGGAAAAAGGCTGTTGGTATTCAAGACCTGACAAGCTCAGTAGCAGAGTGTTTGATGCATGTTGTCCTGCTTGTGGAAGGTTGTTGCCCCCCAGGGCAGCAGCAGCCCCCAAGTCACCTCCCACTGTTTCTGACCAAGGGGAACTCGTATTAGAACTCTTCATCTTCCTCTAAGCTCTATTAGAGCTGCAAACAGAACTTAGCACATTTAGCCAAAGATGGTTGCAGCCTAGAGGAGAAGAGGAGAAGGTGGAAGGGTTTGGTTAAAACTGTGTTGAGGGTGGATGTCTCAGCAGAAGAGACAGAGCTGCTCACACAGGCTTTGTAACAGGCTATGACCTTGACCACACAGGTGAAACACAAACCTGAATTTGGGCATTAAAGCATCATTATAGCTAAAATCATGATGTGGTCCCAATAAAAGCCCCCCCAGATGGGCTGTGACAGGGACAGCCATCCATGGACACCCTTCTGGCTGTGCCCATGAGAGCTGACTGACACCTCGGTATCTCAAACACATTCCCAGCAGTGTGTTCCACATCTGTGCCACTCTGGGCCTCAGCCTTGGCCTGGGAAGGTGCCAGGTGGGGGGAACACCACCCTGCCATTGGAGCAGGGACCAGAACAGCCCTGAGCTTTCCTCCCCCCAGGCCAGGCAGTGCTTTGGGATACACACCTATTCCCCACAGCTTGGGAATGTCATCAGCTCCTACTGCAGGGCAATGCCAGCACCTTCCAGGCCCTGCCTAACCCTTCACACCAGCTCCATTCCCCTGCCTCATCCCTCTCAGTCATCCCCAAAAACTGTGAGAGGATTTTCAAGCTCACTCACTCTCGTGGCCACACTGCTGCAATGTTCCTTCAGCATTGGAAGCTTTCAGAGCTCAGGCTCCTCAGCATTCCTCCCTTAAAATAGCCTGGCTGATAGGGCTGGGGAGGGAGGGCAGAGCCAGTGCTGGGGCAGGAGCACAGCTCATCCCACTGCTGCTCCAGAGTGTCCCAAAAGACAGGAGAGTCTCCTCACTCTCCCACAGGCAGAGGCACACTCCAACCACCCAAGGCATCACAGCATGGAATGCTCTCCTAGCACAGCAGGCAGAGGGGCAGCCAGTGGGAAGCAGAGTGCTCCAGAGAATACAGGGCTCACCTGGCCATGGATAAACACCCTCAGCATCACAGTGCAACAGCCACAATTGGGGACCAGCTTACAGTAGTGGCAGTGGCCACAGTGGCTTTGCCAAGCAGCACAAGCCTCTTCCAAGCACAGCAACAGAGCAATCCATGGCTATACTTGGTAACCATAAAAGGTTTTTCCAATCTAACCAATTCCATGATTCTATAATTGAGCAGTACCTGTGTGTTGATCCCTGAGAACCTCCAGGAAGTGCCCAGGAGCCAGCTCTGATCTCTGCCAACTCTTCCAGACTCACTCTCAGCACACTTCTGCTTCTATACCCCACTGCTCCCTGCATTAATTGATCTCTGATGAGCTCGTTAGGGAAATGGGCAACAGCTTGGGCTCACCCCCAGCCCACCTGGGCTTTCTGGGGGCTGCTGATTCCTCATCCACAACAATGCTTCTCCCAGCTCCTCCTGCTCCAGGAAATTAAAGATGATGCAGAGTGCTTTTGTGATCAAGAAGCTTCCAAAACCAGATGCATATTGCAATCTAACATGAATGTACAAACAGACACGTCAGCTGCCAGAGGGAGGCTGGGCTGGTTTTGAAGACTAATAGCTTGGCTTGTGTATTCCATAGCAGTGAGTTACACCCCAAGGGGATCTGTGTGCAGAGTTCAGAGGGTTTGGGAGGTGTTTGTCATTCAGAGACACCCCCAATGCCTGCACTAACAGGGCAGGGCTGAGCCCCAGCTCCCCATCCCCAGGAGGAACACAGACAGGCAGCACTGAGCATCCCTGTGGGTGTCAATAAACACCCCTAGATCAGAAGGCTGCTGGGTTTTAATTAGCACAGCACCTTCCTGCCGAGCAGGCAGCATGTCCCTGAATGCTAAAAGAGGGCAGGAATGGGCTCTGGCCACCCCTAAAGCCAACACTCCCATGCACAGCTCCTGTTCCCAGCACTCCTGCCTGGCCCTGGCACCTGGGAGCATCATCCCCAGCTTAGGGGGTGGGACAGGGACTGTGACCCACCAGGGCTGGGGTCTCATGCTGTGGGCCAAGCCCATGCACACACTGCTCACAGGCTGAGGACAGGCAGTGGCAGGAGCCCTGAACCATCTCCCACTTGGATCTCAGCAGGAGCAGGGACTCTCCAGCTGCACTGGGGCTTGTCCTTGCTCAGGGGATGCAGGATCCCAGCACAGCCCTCACTCTCCCCAGCCCTTTCCATTTGGGATCTCCTCTCACCTTGCAGCAGACCCTTGTCCTTGCACTGAAGGCCTTGTTGTCCCCTCCCTTACCTCCCTCTGCTCTGCTCCCAGGTGGATTTTGAGGATGTGATAGCTGAGCCTGTGGGAACATATAGCTTCGACGGCGTGTGGAAAACCAGCTACACCACCTTCACTGTCAGCAAGTACTGGTGCTACCGCCTGCTCTCTGCCATCCTGGGCGTCCCCCTGGCTGTCATCTGGGGCTTCCTCTTTGCCCTCATCTCCTTCTGCCACATCTGGGCAGTGGTCCCCTGCATCAAGAGCTACCTGATCGAGATCCAGTGCGTCAGCAGGATCTACTCCCTGTGCATCCACACCTTCTGCGACCCACTCTTCGAGGCTCTCTCCAAGATCTGCAGCAACGTCCGAGTTGCTCTTCGGAAGGAGACTTAGGTCCCACGAGCTGCTCCAACAGCCCCTGCACAACCCCTTCTGTGCAGACCTCCTGCCCTCAGGCACAGGGACACCTGTGCCCAGGGAAGGACCTGCACATGGACACATGTCTGGGGACCTACACACAGACCTCCATGCCCAAGGACCTGCACAAACAGACACCTGTGACAAGGGAACTGTGCATCAGAGCAGGGCCCCATGGCAGAGCTGGTGCTCAGGGATGCTCCCTGTGAATGGAGGCAGGTTGGGCTGCCCTGTACTCCATCCCAAAGCTGGCAGCCTTAGGAGAAGAGAAGCCCAGGGAGAGCCCTCTGCCCTCCAGGACCCACAGCATTGCTCCCACTCCTGCAGGAGGAACAGCAGCACCTTCTGGACCACAGCCCTGGGCCACAGCCTGCAGGTGCAGGGTGAGCAGTGAGGGTACAGAGCTGCTTCTGGCCATCAATCACACCCTGCCTGCTCCTGCATCCCTCCAGGCTGGGATGGCACTGACAGAGACACTTGTGTAGGAGTTATTATTTGCTGCAAACAACTGCTGGTGTGGGAAGCTTCTGCATTGAACTGCACAAGGGTTTTAGGGATAAAATAGCAACCCAAACTTTTCTCTCGCCTGTGTTTGTATTTCAGCCAAGCTGTGAGAGCCAGAGCAATCCGTGCATGACATGTTGTGTCTGCCCTGGGAGGCTGAGCTGAGCCTGGGCTGCTGCCAGCTGCAAACCCGTTTGTGGCACTTGGGTGCTCAATTATGCACTTAATTATGGAGCAGAGTTAAGTGCCGTGGGCAGGACCCAGGGCAGGACAGCAGAGGTGGAACACAGCCCTACACATTGCCCCTGCACACCAGCACTGCTGGGAGGGCAGTGGCTTTTGGGAACCTCGCTTGAGGGACAAGCTGGGCTCTCAGCAAAGCTTTGGCTCGTTTCTCAGGGAGAATCTTTACTACACACTTGCTCAGTCGATGCTGGGTAAGCTCCAGCCACGGGAATGTGTGTGTCCCACATGGTCAGGGCTGTCCCTCTGCTCCACGCCCTGGGATGGAGTCACAAAGGCTGCAGGGGGACAGGAATACACCAACCCCTTAGACTCTCCCTGGCAGGAAGGGACTCACATCCAGCCAAGTCCCTCCCTCAGCATCCCGTGGGGGAGCAGAAGGAGCCTCCACCAGGACACAGCACTCTGACTCCAGAGAAACAGGGATGAGGGGCAAAAAAGTCTAATTCAGAGCTATTTCCTCCCCTGTACTGTTCATTAATTTGTCAGTCCCTCTTCCACAGAGCTGCACTTTCACTTTGAGGCCCTTGAACACTTTTGGCTCCAGCCTTAAGTGCTTTGCTGAACCAGGGCCCAGGAGGTCTCGCTGTTCGAGGCTGTTCTCAATTGTATCCGTGTGCTCCTTCCCCTTGGCTTCCAGCAAAGACCTGGAGCCAAAGGCTCCTCTAGCACCAAGCCAAGGCCAAGAAAGAGCCAGGTGTTCTCTTGGAGTCCTTCCAAGGGCTTGGGATTGTGCACTGCCATTACTGCATGGCACCCATGCCCTGGCAACACCCAGGGCTGAGGTGGATGCAGTGATACAGAACATGAAAAGATATTTAGGTATTTGTAGGGGGGAAAAAAAGTCTCCAAAAACACTTCACCATGAGCATTTTTTAAAGCTTTTTGAGAGAATAAAATTAATTTAAAGCAATTGTTTTATGGAGTTATATTCTTTTGACATTTTCTCGTGGTTCTAGTTGTTGACAGCCTGAACCCAGAAAGCCCCAAAATCCTTCGATATCCTTCCCCTGCAGCACACCTGGAGCTGCTCTCCCTGTTCCCACTCTGGCACAGGAGCTCAGCCAGAGGCTGTGGCACTGCTCAGCTGGAGAGAGCAGCATCCCCAGGGATGGGGCACTGCCCTGCCTGATCCCAAACCACCATAGGGAATTGCACCCACGGTTGGAGGGCAATTCTCTGCCTCTCCCAAAGCTCCCTCCTCACTCCATAGATCAGTCCCAGCAACATCTATTGCCTCATTCCCTTTCCTCCCCGGGAGGGTGTGCCCAGCCCCTGGATCACAATAAACGAGACTCCTCCTTCCTTGTTTTCTGCAGGAGTTAGTGATTCTCAAGGACAAAGAAGTGAAGATGGGAGGAAAATGGTGCATGGTGTCCTAAGGATTGAAACCAGCCAGCAAAAGTGCTGAGAGCTCACTTGGAGCTCCCATGAAAAAATCAAAGGGATGCCAGAAGAGGAAAAGTGCAAATATACCTGCTGGTGATGGTGAAAGCATAAAGGACATTTTTAAATGCATTTTTCGTGTTCGTTCCCAACAGGAAAGGCTAAATTACATCACCCTTTGAGAGCTGCACGTCCCCCAGCCACGTCCCCATCCAGTGCCTGTGTCACAGACAGCTCCACACTGTGGAATGACACATGTGGATCCCAGTGCTCAGGCAGAGTTCCCCTGGCAGAGCTGAGCACACCTGGGGGTTGTGTCACATCCGTCCCCTTCCCTCCCTCAGCCCTCTGCTCCCACTTTCCATCAGACACAGTCAGAAAACTTTATTTACAGTATTTGCTAACAGTAAAAATCCATGCTGTGAGCATGCCCTGTGCGTTACAGAGAGAGAATGGCACTGGGGGAGACTCCATGGGATTTGTGGGGATCCCAGAGCAAAGCCTGACCCTGGGGACTTAATGGGAGAGTCCCTGCCACAGCCTGGGGAGCTCAGCTCAAATCCCACATACCTTCCTACAGAGAAGCTGCTGAGCACACTCAGCCAAGGGGTTATTGCCCAGATCCCTGGCCCCAGTCGTGCCTGCTCTGGGCTGTGCCGACCGTATGGACAGACTCTTTTGGGTAGGGACACCAGTGACAGTGCTGTGCCTGCTGCTCCCCCTGGCCCTGAGCAGGGTAGCAGGACTGGGACGTTGCAGGATGCAGGGATGGGGCTGCCTCTGCCCCACAGGCTGCAAGCAAAGCAAGAGCACCTGAGCTGAGAGCACAGTGCCAGGCACTGGCATCCTGCAGGATCCCTGATGTAGATGGAGGTGGGACAGTGCCCATCACCCTGTGCCACCCATGTCCCTGTGCCACCCATCACCCTGTACTGCAGCCCCTTCTGTCCAACAGGGATGCAGCACACCTGCTCTGGGATCGTTTGGGGCAAAACTTGTCCCTCCCCCTGGCATCCAAAAGCCACTGACATCGGGGTTTGGTGCTCAGGAGTGGGTTCCTGGTATCCAATCCCAGGCAGCACTGAAATTTGGACACAGAATTCCTCCCCCACTCCCACCTCAGTTAAATAACTCCTGCTGTACATGCTTACAGACATATATACACCTATTTATACAGCCCCTCTCTGTGTCCGAACCCCAGCTTTGGAGGGAAGCGCTGCAGGCAGCACGAGCTCCTGGCTGGCACTGGCCTCACGTGGTGGATGGCTGCGAGATGCTCCTCTGGCTTGTGCTCTTGCAGCTGAGGACGAAGGAGGAGGAGTTGCTCTTCTTGCTCAGGTCACACGCCGGCCGTGATTTCAGGTAGCGCGTGGAGCAGCAGAGGAAGCGCCGCATCAGGTCGTGGAAGAGGTGCCCAGTGTAGAGCATGTAGATCCAGGGGTTGCAGCAGCTGTTGAGACTGGCCAGGAGCATGGCAATGATGAAGGGGGAGGCTGCAAGGCAGAGCACAGCAGAGTCAGGGCATGGCACACACCACAGTGGGCTCTGCTGGCACCACAACACCCCTCCCAGCCAAGGATGTGCCATCCTGCCTGCAGGAACACCACCTCGGGAAAGGGGAGCTGGCAAAGCCAAAGAGGGGACGTTTAAACATCGTAGGGTTAGATTTTTCCAAAAAAAAAAAAAGCTGCATTTCCTTACCTGACTCCAGCGCTGCTGCCAGACCAGCGTTACCCTGGAATGCCTGACCAGGAGGCAATGCTGCCCTCAGCAGAACCTGCACATTTTGCCTTTCTGGTGCCCAAAGCCGAGGAAAGTGAGCACAGCCCTTGGAGTTGCCATGGCAAAGAGCAGGACTGGGAGCAGGCAGAGCCAGTGGCTCATTTTTCCCCACCAGCAGCCGATTTGGGGCAGAGCAGCAGCTCTGCTCAGGCTGTGGGGCAGTCACACCCCCAGCCCCAGGGTGTCTCCTGCTCCTGGGCTGTCCCTGGCTGACAGGACAGTGCCCTGGCCAAGCCTTTATGCCTGGTGCTCTCCCAACATATTTCTTTTTCCCAGATGAATTTTTCACACTCAACGCTCTGCCAGGGGAGATGACAGCCATTCCCACCTCAGGAATGGAGCCTGGGAGCCTGGCAGTGGCTCCTGGCCACAAAGGTGATGTGGAGGAGAGGACAGTGCCAGTGCAGTGCCAGGACATCAAGTCTCTGACTGCTGCTCCCTGTCCCCAGAGCACAAAGTACCGACTGTCCCACCTGAGAGGTTGGATCAGCACCTTCTGGTGACAAGGGACAGTGGGACTGGCACCCACCATGGCCCAGGGGCAAGGTGGGACCACAGGGATGGAACCTTTATCCTGCTCCCTTGTTCCAGCCCATCTCCTCAGCTCCTTTGCTCCCAAGGCATGTGCCAGCACTGAGGATGCACACGGTGGTTTGGCTGCTCCTGGTCCCTCCCTGGCTCTGAAAAAAAATCCACTGGCAGTTCTTAATCCGGTGAAGAAGTGTGAAAATGAACACTAGCTTCCAAATTCACCTTTAGCCAAAGATGCATAATTCCTGCTCTAGTGATGTCTGCTCCAACCACTTTTAATTTCAAGCATATGCTAAGATAATTCCATGGGGAATGGTTACAAATCCCAGGTGCAGGACCTGCAATAGATCACAGCATTTCTATCCAGTTAAAAACATCCAGCCAGGGCTGACTCAGCTCTTCCCTCTCTGCAGGAGGCAAATTGGATTTCATGGAGCTTATTGTAGGGCAAATCCAGAGGGTGGATTACTCCCCTCTCTGGCTGGACCGCCAGAGATCCCTGAGGGGTGTTATGACCAGCAAGCTCTGCCCCTCAGGGATATTCCCAGTATCCCCCACTCCATGCTGGGGATACCTGGAGGGGTGGGCAGAGGTGAAAGTTGTGCCCAAACAGAGCTGTAGGGCAGAGAGGTCTGACCCTACTGCCCCTCTTGTGCCTCTGGGCTGCCAGGGAGGACAAGGAGGGAGAAGGAGGAAGGCCTGGGACCTCCTGGCACTTGCTATCCACGATAACCCACCCCAGGCTTTCCCTCACTGTGCCACGAAAACGACTGGCAAGTGTCCTGGCAGAGCTCCCACCCTGTGCCGCAGCCACAGACTGCCCAGAGACACAAACGTGATGGAGAGGGGAGTGAGGTGGACCAGCTCAGCAGGGCTGGAGCTTCCCTCGGTGCCTTAAAGCAAAGAAGGAAGGGAAAGGGGAAGGGAAAGGGGAAAATGGAAAAGGGAAAAGGGAAAAGGAAAAGGGAAAAGGGAAAAGGGGAACGGGAAAAGGAAAAAGGGAAAAGGAAAAGGGGAAAAGGGAAAAGGGAAAAGGGAAAGGGAAAGGGAAAGGGAAAGGGAAAGGAAAAGGAAAAGGAAAAGGAAAAGGAAAAGGAAAAGGAAAAGGAAAAGGAAAAGGAAAAGGAAAAGGAAAAGGAAAAGGAAAAGGAAAAGGAAAAGGAAAAGGAAAAGGAAAAGGAAAAGGAAAAGGAAAAGGAAAAGGAAAAGGAAAAGGAAAAGGAAAAGGAAAAGGAAAAGGAAAAGGAAAAGGAAAAGGAAAAGGAAAAGGAAAAGGAAAAGGAAAAGGAAAAGGAAAAGGAAAAGGAAAAGGAAAAGGAAAAGGAAAAGGAAAAGGAAAAGGAAAAGGAAAAGGAAAAGGAGAGCTCATTGCACAGGGTGAGCAAGGGAAACCTTCCTGGTGCAGCAGGCAGGATGGGATGGGCAAACATCCCACCCATTCCCACTCTGTTGCAGGGTGAGCAAAGCAGCAGAGGTTTGGATGGTTCTGAGGTTTGGGTGCTGGGGAGGTTTGGGTACTGGGAAGGTTTGGGTCCTGGGGAGACAGATGCAGCCCTCGAGACTGCAAGATTAAAACACAGCACAAGGGAGAGCCAGCATCTCACCCCAGGGCCCATCGAGGAACTAGAAGTTTTGACCAGGCTAAATCAGGTGGAAAACCAATGGCTGCTGCCTGGAGCAGCCAGGGAGGTTTGAAAAGCCACACTCCACTTCTCCTGCAATAAAAGGAGCAGAGGGAACAAGAGAGGCAAAGCAAACCTGCCTAGCTCCAGCTCTCCATCAGCTCATGGGAACCGATGTGCGGGGGCTGTGGGAGACATTGGGTTTTCCACAGAGCATTGGTCAGTCTGTCCAAGGAGTTCTCATCCCTGGATGCACTTTTCTGCCCTTTCTCCCACCTCACAGAGTTGTGCAGAGTTGTTGGCTCAGCTCTCCCAGGTGGTTCTCCCTGCAGGAGCAGAGGGACCATCGAGCAGCTCCGCTGGGGGACAGCACAGACCTGCACAGCTCCAAACACGTCAGACCAGGGAGGGTGATGTGTTTTATTCTATCTGCAACCTCAGTGATGACAGGAGCAGCCAGCTCAAGTATAAACAATAGCAAATCCATGACACCACATCTTTTAGGAAAAAGCTTTGCTCATAAATCAGGAGCTTTCTGTGGGAACTGTGCTCCAGCTACAGATATAATAACAGCAGGATGGTCTCAGGGAGCAGGAGGAGAGGGAGAAGAGGGCAAAAGAGTAGAAAGCAAAGAAGTCAGTGAGGAGAAAATGATACAGCAAGGGAAAGAAGTCAGGAATCAACACTGCACAGCTTTCTCCTGAGCTCCTATGCACCTCCTAGCATGTCCCAGCACCCAGGGTGGGCAGTGGATCTCCAGAGACCCCAGAGTTCTGTGAGGGCTGACAGCACACACCTGGGGACAGCCACCACCACCCACACAGTCTGACCCCTGAGCCACAGCAGCCCCCAGTTTGCCAGGGCTGTGCTCTCTCCTGATGCAGGGAAGCTCCAGCACAGCCCCTGGTGCCTCTGAGGGGTTTATCCACACTCAGGACTTTCTCCTGTCTCCCTCCCACCCCCAGCCCCAGCTCAGAGCAGCGTTTTGGCCACGGGTGTCCCCAGGCTGCTGAGCAGAGCTGTGCACACACAGCAGGGTGAGGGAGGGGAGAGGCTGTACCTTCCTGCGGAGCGTTGGTGTCCCACACAGACCACATCTGCACGAAGAAGAAGGGAGTCCAGCACACTATGAAGGCCAGCACTATGATAAAGGTCATTTTGACCGTCCGGATCTTGGCCTTGGAGATGAGCCTGGTGCTGCTGACCCTGGCGAACGCCATCCCGCTGCGGGAGCCCGAGCCCAGCCCCACGTTGGGCCCGTGAGCTGTCTTCAGCTTCACGTTCTGCCAGATTTTGAAGCTGATTAAGCCGTAGCAGATGCTCAGCATCAACACAGGGATGATGTAGACCATGAGGGTGATCCAGGTGACATAGGCTTTGGGTCCCCAGGGCTGGATGAAATCCGCCCAGCAGTCATAAACCCCGTTCCCCACATCCCTCAGAGAAAATATGTGGATCTGAGGGATGCTGACCAGCAGGCACAGCAGCCAGGTGAGGAGGACAGAGACCCGGTCGGCTCTCCTGTGCAGGGACCTCAGCGGCTGACAGATGGCCAAGCAGCGGTCCAGGGACATCAGCAGGAGCATGTAGGTGGAAGCAAACATCCCTACCACCTGCAGGTACTTGATCAAGCGGCAGAGGAAATCTGGCCCATAGAACCTGAAGGTGATGTCCCAGATGAGCTGGGGCAGCACCTGGAAGATGGCAACGACCAGGTCAGCGATGCTCAGGTGCTTCATGAAGAAGTACATGCGGGAGTGCTTGTGGCGGGTGGTGTGGATGGCCAGCAGCACACACAGGTTCCCGGTCAGGGCGAGGAACAGGATGAGGCACAGCACTGTCACCTCCACCTTGGCCATGTCCTCGTTCCTCTTCAGGGGGTCGGCGGTGCTGTTTTTTTTCCAGCCGGAGCCTGCCGTTCCCCAGGGAGCTGTTGGTGGTCCAGCTGCTGCTCCCCGCCAGGTACAGCTTCTCCATGGCCAGCGCCGACCCGCATCGAGCCTGGGG